GGATTCACAAGCTCTAGTAAAAAAAGTTAAATAGCCAAGTGAAAAAATGGGATTAAAATTAAATATAAGGAAGACCAAGCTAATGACAACAGATGGAACTACCAGCCTTAGAATTGGCAATGAAGATACTGAAGTGGTGGATAGGTTCTGCCTTGTAGGATCAACCATCAACAGTAAGGGAGCAAGCAGTCAAGAAATATGCCACACACTAGCACTTGGTACAGCAGCCATGAAGGCCTTGGAAAATATATTCAAATGCTGTAATGTGTCTATACCTACAAAGATCAGAATTGTGCAAGCCATGGTATTCCCTGTGACATTCTATGGAAGCGAAAGTTGGACTTTGAACAAGCAGCATAGGAAGACTATTGATGCTTTTGAACTCTGGGGTTGGAGAAAACTCCTGAAAATACTGTGGACAGCCTAAAAAACTAAGCAATTGATCATCGAACAAATCAACCCAGAATTCACACTCGAGGCCAAATGACCAAACTTCCCTGCTTCACACACATTATACAAAGACCTAGCTCTCTGGACAAGGCTCTAATGCTGGGAAAGGGGGAAGGAAAGAGAAGAAGAGGATGATCAGCAGCAAGGTGGGTGGACTCAGTTACAGTGGTGATGGGTTGGAAGACTTGAAGGACCAGGTTAGGGACAGATCATCACGGAGAAAGTCTATCTATGTGGTCACAAAAACGACTTGATGGCACATAATCCATCAATCAAGGACCTAAAAAGTAATTAAAACAAAACTGTATTATTTCAACAAACATAAAAAATACAGTAAGTCACAGCAACTCCAGTAAGACCAAACCTCATCATCTTGGCATCACAAATTTAGGAATCACCTCTAAATAATAAATTTTAACTAAAAATAGTTAGTAGATTTCTGCATCAGGCAGGAGATTGGAGTAGATTATTTCCAAGATCCATTCCAATTCATTCCCACTTTTATATTCTATAATTTTATCATTCTATAATATCCTTGAGAAATGCGGTGGTTTTAGAATAAAAGACTGACAGAAAAAAATCTCCAAGAGGAAAATTTTCCTTTAAGGTAGATGGCATTTCTTGGTTAGAAAAGGTTAGAAAATTAGATTCTGGGTGCTTAACTCAGAGAACTGAAGACATAACCTATTTCTAGTTATCCCTTGAGTGTGGACGGTGAAAATATGAGTGAAATGCTTAACTTCTCCCTGCTCTTTTTTTTACATTGTTGATAATAGCACACAGATAACTAAAATAATGTTACAGGCTTTACTAGTTAGAAGGCACCAGTTGCAATCTTAACTGGTGCCTTCTAACTAATTTTAGAATAAAAGACTGACAGAAAAAATCTCCAAGAGGAAAATTTTCCTTTAAGAAAATAGAACTGGATGGATGTAATACAATGTTATGCCCAAACTTGAAGTAAAAATATTCATCTATAAACCACAATTATCCAAATCTAATCTTATGAAAAAGAATCAATAGAAATTCAATTCTTCATTAGATGCTTAAGTCTCAGTATTTTCAATAGAATTAGCTCTAAGTTCAAAACATAAATTTTTCCCCACTCTGCCTGGACCGGCTGTCTGTTCAAAAAGCAGGATGTAATCTTGCAGAGCTGCAGCTTTGCCTGTTTATACAAAGCCCAATCTCTGTCAGATGTGCTCTGGATTTTCTTCCCCACTCTGCCTTGACAAACAAGAAAAATGTAAGATTTTGCCTTATATGTAATGCATGCAATTATTTAATAATCAGATTCTTCAAACAAAGCCTGAGCCAGCTAGATAACACCCCTGAGAATAGTCTTTCTGCCAAAATGGATTATCAACATTCTGTCCTTTAGTAGAACAATTAGTAAAGAAACCATTATTAAACCCAACAGTCCTAGACAACTTTCACCCAGTCTCCAACCTCCTCTTTCTTGGAAAGGGTGTTAAGAAAGGGGTCAGGCTGTATCTCCAGAGGGCTCTGGAGGTAACAGATTATCTGGATCTTTTTCAGTTGAGTTCAGGCCAGGACATAACACTGAAACAGCATTTATCAGTGACATCTGACATAAGTGGGGACAGGGTGATACAACCATCCTGGCTCTCTTTGAGCTTTCAACAGCTTTCAATACCACCAATAATAGTATTTTTCTGGACCAAATATGGGGATTATGAGGGGGAATATTACAATGGTTCTCTTTTCTTTTCCATGGCCAGTTCCAATCAGTGTTGATGAGAGGGGAGAAATTGAGTTCAAAGCTCTTGACCTGGGGAGTGCCACAGGGTTTGATGCTCTCACTTCTCCTATTTATTATCTATGTGAAGCTGCTGGGTGAGGTCATCCATTAGCATGGGCTCAGGTATCATCAGTATGCAGATGATACTCGTGCCCAAATAGAACTGGAACCAATTTGAGGGTCTTTCTAGACTCTCAACTCCTGTCACCTGAGATTTGAGAAGCCTCTGCCCTTTTAGCCTCCCAGAAGGCAATGAAGACTTAGTTCTTCCACCAAGAATTGGGGTAGGATGAGGTTGAGTCAGAGGTTAATAATTTGGTTGGTCTGGTACCTGGTGGGAAGGGTTCTTCTGTTTTTATTCTATTGTTTTTATTGGTTGTTGTGAGCCACTTAGGATCACTATGTGAGATAGGTGGCCATGTAAGTCTTTTAAATAAATACAATAAATAAATAGCCAGGAGGGCCTTCACAAAAATTCATCTCATTAATCAATTGTATGCATTCTTGGGCCAGAAGGCCCTTTACATGTTTAATTATGCCTCAGTTATCTGACTACTGCAATGGGCTGTATTTGGGGTGGAGAGAAGACCACTAGGAAGTTTCAGGTGATTCACAATGCAGCAGTACGAACAGTTGTGGGCATGCCACATTATTCTAAGCAATACCTCTGCTTTGTGAATTGTACTAGTTATCAGTACATTTTTGACTGCAATTTAAGGACTGCTTATCATATACAAAGCCTAGTTATCTGAAGAACTATATCTCTCCCATTCTTTTTGCCTGCCCTATAGCATCCATTAAACAATACCATTTGATGCGGGCAAGGAAGTATGGCTTCTCTGTTGGGAAAAACATTCCCCCCAAGATTTGAATGATCCCAACCCTGGTCTCCTTTAATTGAGCCTTGAAGACCTTGTTCTTTCCTCGGACTTTAGAGTAGGATGGGTTGTAGGATCCCTTTGTGAGGGTTTCTTATGCCTGTTCCAATGTGATCATCATCTTCTTTTTCTGTTGTTCTATTTCCTTGATTTTCAATTTGCATGCCACCCAGAATCATTGAAAAGTTAAGTAGTTTAGACATGTGAAAAATAATTAGACCTTTCTAATGCAATGAAATTTCACATGGTTTCCATGCCAATACGTATTTCCCTGATTAAATTCCTCAATCACAATTTCTCTTATGAGTCCAAAGCACAAGGAATAACCATGTGCAATATATCCTGGACACGAAAAAAATCAGATTCATCATCTCACTGATTAAAGGGTGATTGGCTTGAGCATTGCTTCTGGACATCACAAAACATTGTAAACTGTGGTGCAGTCCTGTACTTTTCACTGCTCCTACCCACCCTGGGAAATGAAAGAGTACAGTCAGAGCACTCCTTCATGAAATGAACCACTGAACTAAGTTAGCAAGTCTTCTCCACCACAACTTTCTAGAAATGGATCACTCCAGTCATCCAGACTGAGTATTAGATCCTTCTGACAGAAAGGAATTTTCCATATGAGCCTTGTGCAAACAACATGATCTTCCAGAGCCGTGGTATTTTTGTATCTTCTCAACTATTTAGTGATCTCATCTTATGGTTTATTCCTACCACCAAGAGTGCTTTTTAGTCCTGATTGGTTCTTTGTCACAATTATTGATTTATTCCAGAAGTTTTGTTTCAGCCTAAGAGTATCAACTATTTAAAAGTCAATTCTTAATCCTAGAAAGAAACCAGAACTTCAAAAAGAAATACCAACTATGTCAGCTGAAACTATTAGTATATTCTGATACCCAATAAGATTTACCAGTCACTGGCAAATCACATAAAGCAACCTTTCTCAACTGGGGTTCCATGGAACTGTAGGGTTCTGTGAGAGGTTGCTAGGAGTTCTGCGAGAGATCGTGAAAAAAACAGCAACAACAACATAGTATTTGAATTTTGCATGCATCCTAGCACTCTCAGTATCAGAATTTTTCACACCACGACTCAGCTTCTGGTGCCATTTCACTAGGAATTCCTCAAGACATTGTAAAAAAAAATTTTTTTTTCAACTTTGCGCACCACACAGTGCTAGCTGTAGATATAATAATTTTTATGCAGAGGTTCCCTGGGACCTGAAAAATATCTCAAGGGTTCCTCTAGGGTGTAAAGGTTGAGAAAGGCTGATCTAAAGTATAAGTGAGTTGTTGTGTGTTTGCCTTCAAATCAGTAGTAACTGCCTGGACTAATCGCTGTAGTTTTCTTAGCAAGATTTTTGGATGTGGTTTGCCCTTGCCTTCTTCCTAGAGCTGAGAGAGGACTGGCCCAAAGCCCCTCAGCTGGCTTCATGCCCAAGATGGGGCTAGAACTCACGCTGTCTCAATTTCTAGCCTGGTGCCTTAACCACTGCACCAAACTGGCTCTCATAAGTGAGTAATGCACCCCATTTATCACCTGTAACAATTGGCCACTATTCATAATGTCTGAGGATTCACCTGCTTTTCCCTGCAGTCCAACTGATCATATTTTTACTGCTCATATCTGTGATGGCAAAACAAATTTTCACTGGTCTCCCCCAAGCCTGCCAAATAATTGTTTGACATGCTGGAAAGAACAAGATCTGTCCCTGCAAAGGTGAAAAGCATCAGCCTTAGTACACTTGCGCATACATGAGCGCTTACTATGGAACTAATGGAAAACACTGAGAACAAAGACAGCCATGCCCACATCACTTCATCTTTCATTTGCACCTCGCATACTGGTTTTCATTTCTACCGGTCTTACATTTATTATTGTTTTTATAGAGAGACTGCACTTACCAGTAATATTGCTTGGATGTGTAGTTGCAAGAGCCTCAGCTTCTTCTAATTCCTTTGCATTTGATTTCAAACTTGCAAACAAAAGTTGGTTTTGTTTTGTGAGTTTATCAATCTTCTTCTCTACAAAATGAGAAATATTTTTAAAAGACTTAGGAGGGAAATGTACATATATTGCAGTTTAATTCTATTGCACTAATCTTCTGTTCTAAAAATAAGATTATTACTAAGGAAAGACAAAGAGACTCTGTAAAGGATCTGTATTTTTTCCCAAGCCAGGCAAACAGTAGGTGCAGTTGGAAAAAATAATATGAGGAAGATACTTTAAATCCTCCTCCTACCCAGCATAGTGGTCACAAACCAATCTGGGAATTTCTAAAATAAATGTATGGGTCTGGATGGGGAGGATGGTTATACCAGTCTGGGTGGGGAGGAACCAGCTTCAGTTCAGTCCAGACAGGACTGAGTGGCTGTAGGCTTTACACTCTACCCGCCCCCCACCATCTAGTGATTTGCCATCTTTAATTCTGGCTGGAATTACACTCCCCCAGTCAGAGTTGGTATGCAATTTGATGATCATCCTGGATTCACAGGTGGCAGTTGTGACCAAAAATGCCATTGCACAAATAGATCTTGTGTGCCAGTTGCACCCTTTTCTAGATCAGGAGGCATGTTCATGGTCACGCATGCTTTAGTCATCTCCTGATTGGACGATTGCAACATGGGGCTCCCTTGAATCTTCAACTGGTCCAGAGTGCAACAGCACAGGCAGTAGTGGGCGCACCGCAGTATACCCATGTAACACTGCTGCTGCTCCTAGTAGGCTTCCAGGTGCAATTCAAGGTGCTGGTTGTCACCTGTAAAGCCCTCCATGGCATGGGGCCAGGTAACTTGTGGGGTCACCTATCCCCAATGGATTCTTCCTGTCCCACTAGATCTGGCAGAGTGGGCATGCTTCAGGTCCCCTTGATAAAGCAATGTGATCTGGTGTGGCCTCAGAAGTGTGCCTTCTCTATCAATGGCACCTTGTCTATCAGTGGCACACTGATTTATGGAACAAATCCCCCTGAAGAAATGGATGGCCCCAACCCATCCATTTCAGGAAAGCAGTGAAGACCTGAATTTCCCCCCAGACACTGGGCAAGGATGTCCATGGAGCTGTCATGGTATGTTGGACCTATGTATATGAGTTTTATTGAGGCTCCAACATTGGTTTGCTTGCTTTAATAGTTTTTTATAATTGTATTATGTTTTTATTCTTCTTCACCATCCACCTACCTTTTGATAGATGAGTGGACATACAAATTTGTTAGTTAAATAAATAAATAAAAATCTTATCAAGCTTGGCTTCTATACAAATACAGTAACATATTATTTATTTTACTTATTTACCATATTTACATACCACCCAGTCAACTAGAATTCTGAGTAGTAAACAATGCAACTGTTAAAACCATGTTAAAACATGTTGTGTTGTAACAACACAGAAAACCATAAAAGAAAGTCTAAACAAATAAAAATAAATATACAAGAGGTCTGGCAAAGTAGATGCCAAATACTTGCTGGAATAACATGGCTTCAGTCTTCATCTTAAATACAAGGAGGGAAAGGGTCATTCTCATTTCTGAGGGCAACATATTCCAAATAGTAGGGTTCACCACTGAGAAGTTCTAACATCTGGCCCTCGCCTCATGGACCTCATGTTGGGGGACCCTCAACTCTTACATCATACAGTGAAATTTACAGGAATATAGAAAAATATATAGAAATAACAAGCAATGATTAAGACAGCTCGGGAAAAGACAGTTGGCAGAAATCAAAGTATTGTTTTCACTTTTTAAAGGAAACACTCTAACATAAGGGAAATTGTTTCATGTGATAGGTACCACAATTAAATATTCCCACTTTCAAACCATAATTAAATTGGAGGTATCACATCTGAACTACAATAATTTGGACAGTGAAAAGACTGCTGCAAAGAGTTTTTCCTTGCTGCTATATAGTAATTATTCAGACTTTGGCAGTGCAGATATATTAGATCTAGTTAAGTGAATATCAAACAGGTACAGATAAGACATCCCCTCCAGAAGGCAAGGATTGGTTAGGCTTCTACAGAAGCACAATGTACACTGTATATATGCACAATGTAGCATGTGAGCAAATGAAAAATGCAAACATGAACAACATTTTTACTAAAACTTAAAAGGGACTAATGGAGCACTCTGATGTTACTAGCTTTAAACTTTGCAAGTCAAAACACACAAGTCATTTTGCTATTCTGCAACATCTTCCTCTCTTCCATTCAACTTTAAAAAAAGTCATGAGATCCTCATAAACATTCCTACTTTCTAATAAAGGGCCAGGTGGGAAAATTCTCTATTTTAGTTTCAAACCCATACCTGCTAAACCTCATTTATTCATTTTAGGGTACTTCTTGATTTCAAAACTTGCATCTATTGAATGAAGCATTCATTATATTTTAAAGCCATTTTTCTCTTAGGTGATTGAAGACAGCATTTCTTTCCCTCACTGCCTTGCTTGCAAAAAGAGCTGACTTACTAGATCAGATCAGATTCCTGTTAAGAACTTTGCCTATAAGAATCTATCCTAATGTATATGTTTTGCATATATCACTTTTTTTGTGCTAAAATACCTTCAAAAGATCTAGCATTCTGAAGTTGTTGTAGATTTGCCTCTAGATTATCAGCCAAGAGTGCTCTTTGTTTTTCCAGTTCCTTTACTTTGTTCTCTGCAAAAAGAGAAAACATACTTTAAATAATTCAAGAGCTGGGACCTCTGAAATGAAAATTAAGTGAAAAAAGCATTAAAATGAGTATTATGTTTCTATAAATGCATAACATTCAAAAATACTTACAAAGACAATCCAAAACAACCACAAATTACGTTTTGCACAAACCACCATGTTATACACTTTGCAATCATGTGGATTATACAATAAAACTTTAGCATCACAGAGTTAAAAGGGGACATTTAGGGCATTGGTTCAATCTCCTACTCAGTGTAGGATTCCAAATTAAAGCATTTTTGATAGATGCTGTCTAGCCTCTACTTGAACATATCCAGTTGAGGGGAACCCTCAATTGCTCAGAGTAATTAGCCCATTATCAAATTGCTTTTTTTGTTAGGAAGATTTTTCTAACATTCAGTCAGAACCTGTTTTAAGGTAACTGAAATCAACAAAGAATGAGGTATATCTCTCTTCTGTGTGACATCCTTTAAAGCAGTGTTTTTCAACCTTGGCAATATGTGTGTGGACTTCAACTCCCAGAATTCCCCAATGCCATGCTGGAGTTGAAGTCCACACATCTTAAATTTGCCAAGGTTGAAAGATAAATATGCCTAGTTACTTCAATCTCTTCAAAGAACTTCCAGACCCCAATTATCCTTGTTTCAGTTTCTTTTAAACTTTCTGTGGTATTACGAACTTTATATAATATTTGAGATTGGGTCCATCAAAGCAAAATATAGTGGAACAATGACTGACAATTATATTTCTGTCTATTTGTTTGTTTAACCTCCCCACTCATCCGCAATAGAGATTCTTCAAATGTTTTATTCATCTTTTCTTCCACGTTTGCAAATTTTCCTCCATCCACCCTTCCAAGGAAACCAAATCTGTCAACAGACTCCGTCACATTTTTCTCCAAGTCTTCGAACATCCTTTGCAATATCTCTGGCTAATCTCTTTTTCTGTCACTTGTTCTATTAAAAATCCTCTTCTCCCTTCTGCAATTTTCACTGCTTTCTTAGTAGTGGCCATTTCTTTTCTTTAATTTATAATCCAGAGAGGAGAAGCTCTCCCCCCCACCCCTGGCTTTTCCTGTATCCTTAACTCTCTGGGACCATTTGATACTCTGTAGTTAGATTCAAGGACTGAATCATCAGCCACCATAACTATTCTTTTTCACATCTTGCAGGGAACAACTGCATCACTTCTGTCTTTCAAGAAAGGACTATCAAACTACTTGTTCAGTAGTGCCTCATTTTCTTTCCCTGAAGGCTCAATATCTGTTTCTTCTGTGAGAGACTGAAATTATTTCTGAGGCTCAGAGGAGTTTCAGTTCAGAATATCTTCTACATTTCTAATCACCTGGCACCTCTTTTCAATCTCAGGAACAACAATCACATACCTCACACACCTCCAAAGTCTCTGTTATTTTAGTTCTCCAAAACTCTAACAAAGATGTGGTTTGGAGGTAAGCTTTACCAGAGAAGGGATCTTATGACTGAGAAGACTCATCTTAGGACTCCACCCATCAGCATTACCTAAGAGGTGGCACTAATAACATGAATTCTCATATAACTCTCACTGGTTCGGCAGATTTTGACTTAGAGCAGGCTATCTTGAATACACCCACATCCCAAGTAATTTATTTGTTTGCTTGCTTGCTTGATCAACTTGTATGCCACAAGAGTAACTTTAAGCCATGATAGAGCATGGCTGTTTATGGCTGACAGCAGCAAAAAAGAAAAGAAAAAAGCACTTGCAAATAAACAAGAAATCAAGAATTGATCTGAAGTAGATCAAAGCCAGGAAGACCAGTAGGTCAGTTCATCAAGCCAAAAGAATGCCCACAGAGAATCACAGGGAGCAGATAAAATTATAAAGAGACAATATCGGAAAGATGTTATACACAAGTAAGATAAGAACTGCAGTTGCTAACCTACTGAGAGCCTTGAGGCATAGTTTATAAACAGAGTGTTTCCTAGGATTTCAGGCATTGTTAATTGCCTAAAAGTATATGGGAATACTCATCCTGCAAGAACACTGTCTCAAGTGCTTACTCCATCTTGTCTCTACTTTCATTCTTCAATATTCTGTCAAGTTCTTAGCCACCCCACCTCCACAGGAAGCAAATTTCTTCCAGAATTCCTTTAAAATATTCATTGAAAAAGGATGGGATAAGATTACAGAAGTCTTAGCAAATTGATTGTTTTTCTTCAAAATCCAGTTTATCTCCCAGATTACTAAAGTGGAGACTTTCTCAATCTCTTACACATGGCCGCTGCATGAACTGGTGAGGAGGCTGTTTTCTTATCTGATAAAGGAAGAATGTCCAGAATGTTAGGATGTGAAGCTTTCTTAGGTTCTAAATATACTATTAAAGACCTGGAAATGAAAGACAAGATGATCTGACATTTCCTTCTCATGCCTACTCCCTTTCAATAGCACAGCAAGATCAAGCAATCTCAACCATGTTTTCTAGCTGTAAGGCTATTGGGTTATCTGTATCCTGCCTCTGCAGTTACTCTACCTTCTCCTTATCTGAGGACAGTTCAGAGGTGAGCATGATACTTGGGCCCACAAAACGTATTTGAAAGTAGGCCTTGGGTCTCTCTTCCAAATATACTCAAACATGCCATCAGTTTGTCACATCAAAAGGTCTTATGATTTCTCACATAGTCTAATTTTGAATATAGCATGTGGAGAAGAATCCACTTACAAGTGCATATGCCACTGATTACTGTTTATGTATGTATGTATGTATTAGATGGACAATAGATTACTGTTTGTGTGCATCTGAATTACCCTTATCCCATATGTAGTTTTCCTTCTAGAGTAACTGGTTGGAAATATGCAGGAATGGTTAATATGGATTCCAGAACTCCAGAGTTTCTTGTAACCACAGGATCAGCCCCATCCATCAGTTTCTATCTACTGGGGCTGTGCAAATTATTCAAAAGAGAGTATCACAAAGAGTGCTCATATGAACAAAGCATTCCTCCTAAAGAGAACTGAGGCAGCTGTGCCCTCTGGAACACTTGGCATGGCTGCTTCTCAGGTTGTCTGCATATATATGTATATTCACAGACAGCACTTCCACTAGAACTGCTTTTGAAACAAAGCAGCTGTGCATACAAACACATCTGGATTCAGATGTGAAAGCCTTCGGAACAAGCCTTTCAAGGATGCAGCTTCCTCAATACTTTAAGGAGAGGTGCTTCATTTGTATCAATGCATACAGTGAAACAATGTTTCAATGCCCTGCACAGCCCTATGTAATATCTATTTTTTTCTTACAAGGTATTTTCATTCTGGAGTATCCCAAATTCCTCTTTTTAACCTTCATTTTCCACCCTGATATCTTGTTTTTAAATAGAGTGTAAACTGTAAGGTCAAGGCAATTCTATGTTCTCATAAGACCTAATCTTTCCAGCTACAACACAATACTGACATTTTCCTACGGTGAATAATGGCCATTCTAACTACTTCCACAGAGAAATATACTCAGTGTTCTTACCAACCTAGTCTAGGTTGACAGAGGACAAAGAAAAAACAAACCGTCATTAGGATTCGGTCAAGATGTATCCACTAAACTTTTCCACTTCAGTGAAAAATGACTTGGATCATTTCCCATGTACCCACAAAGCCCTTTCGGCACTTACCATTCATTTCTGATGGCTGGGTAGATGCAAGAGCCCGGGCTTCTTCCAAATCTTTCATATTTAATTCCAAATGTGCAAGTAGCTGGATTCTTTCTTCTGACAGCTTCTTAATTTCCCTTTCTAAACATACACATAAAATATAACTGCCTATAGTGAGTTACAGCACTGGATATCTAGCTCACTCTTGTGAGCACTGTTATGAGCAGTAGCACTGACAATGGCTGCCCAAGGTTCCAAAGTGAGTCTTTGACAGTACACCATCCTGCCCAAAATGCCAAGGATATGATATGCAAAATGTGTGCTCTACCTATGAATCACAACTCTCTTAAATTCTGAAGCACTGTTGTCTGGGGCATTAATGTTTTTATCTTATTCTGTGGTGAATCACTCATAGCTAATCCTGTTTATATAGCTATTTGGTTTATATTTTTGATCACTATCAACATAATATTTTAGAGTTTAGAGTTTAGAATTTGTATTTATATATGGTTTGTTGGTTGTTAGATAGTTTTCCTTGGTTTTAATTCTTTTTGATTTATTGTGTATTTATGTTGTACTCTGCCAGGGTCACCAAGTTGGGCAGCCTTATAAATCTTGAAAATAAATAAATAAATAAATAAATTTTATAAGATTATATGCAACATAATTATCTCTACATGATACACAATTCTGATTTAATACCCACCAATATCTTGCTGTTTTTGTATAACAGCCTGTACTTGTTGATAATCCTTTAAGTGTGAGTCTAGGATTGAAAGCAAGATTGTTCTTTCCTCTGCCAGGTCATTTATTTCTTCCTCTATTAAAAAAAGGAAGGCTTATTTAATCTAACCAATGGTACTAACGTACTAAACATACAAAAGTAAAGTTACAATTCTATCACTTTATGGTTGTAATAAAGATTCATTAATTCCATCATTTTATTTTTCTACACTGTATGACAAATAGGATGGTCTATATTACAGATCTTATTTTAACATTTATCTTACAGATTTTACCTGACAGTCTAGCTTCAGCAGGCTGCTTTTGCCGCAGAAGTCTAACAACTGATTCTATATTTGCAAATATTGTTCTTTTTTCTTCAACTTCCTCTGTTTCACCTATATGGATTGAAAAACTTGAGCTATTGTATAATATAAAAAAATAGGGTATTTCTCCCCCTCCCCCCGCCCTTCACGGATCACTGCCTTGTCGTGGCGAAGAGGCTTGCATAACTCAGTGAAGCCATGAGCTATACCGTGCAGGGCCACCCAA